TGTCCTATTGAGAACCTGAGCAGTCACACTCAAACTGGTAACTAAGCCTCATGAACAAAAGGCAGCAAATGGACAAGCCCCTGAGAAATCTATCCTTCCCCAAAGAGTAGAAGAACAAATCAAGAGGAGTAGCTTGAATGTTAACTACATTGTAATCCTTTTTTTAAAAAGAAAATAGACTAGATCTACAATAAAAGCAAACCAAGCAACGCAATAGTGAGTATTCTTCCCTCTCCCCAAAATACTGCATTTAACTGGTTGTTCCAGTTCAATTGTTCCAGTTAATTCCTTTTGCAAACTGCATTATGTATTTAAAAAGCCATAGCATGTGAAATCCCAGGAGTAGAAGTTAACAGTTTGTTTTTATTTTATTTTTTTTTAATGTTTGTTTTTGAGAGAGAGAGAGAGAGACAGAGCGTGAGTGGGGGAGGGTCAGAGAGAGGCGGGGACACAGAATCCGAAGCGGGCTCCAGGCTCTGAGTTGTCAGCATTGAGCCCCACGTGGGGCTCAAACTAACAAACCGTGGGATCATGACCTGAGCCAAAGTGGGACACTTTACCAGATGAGCCACCCAGGCGCCCCAGAAGTAACAGTTGAAAGTATCCTGTTTGCGATCTTCCCTTTCAAATATTACTGGAGACCCTATTTTCACATTTATTTATTTATGAGTTTTACTTAAAAAAAAAATCACTTTCCAGAAATCTAAAAACACCACTGGATCTGCTAAAAGATATTATGAATTTGTAATGTATCGAGGCTCTATGATTTATGAATGTTTATTATGTTCTGGCTTCACATAGTGTGAGATGTGATTACAAGGTAATGAAATGGGTTTTTGTATGTGGCATGAGAAATCACTTTCATTACTTTGTATTTCTGTAGTTTGCCACATTCATAAAATGGGTCTAAGTTGCCAGTTGAATGGCAAAGCTTACCTGCATTTGGATGTCTTAAAAGGGAGACACTATCGAGATGATTTTCATGCTAGAAACACTTTGGGCAGCTAGTGAAACCTGTGGACTCCTCCATATAATTTAAATTTTTTTTTAAATACATAGATTTTCAAAAAAAACCAATTATGTTGATACAGAGTTTATTATTCTCACTGCTTGCTGTCACCTCTCAAATTGTTACCACAGACTCGTATACATCATAGGCTTCTAGGTTAGAATCAGATTGAAAACTCTCTCATTCTTTAAAGGAACTTTTTTCTTAAAGAGCTAGTAAAGATGTGGAAGAAGCCAAGATTCTCGTGTAGCCCTTGCTTCCAGTCCCAGCTACATCCTCCCTTGCCCTATATACCCTCAGGATTCCTATTCTCTCCCTTTCTTCTGGTACCTTCTGTCAAGAGGAAAATGCTGATGATTGCTAATGCATTCTTATTAAATAATTTCAAAGGTTACTTGTATTTGTAACATAAATGTACGTTTGTGTTCGTTAGCTTGGTTTCTTTGACCTTTTTATTACCTTCTGAAGGCACATTTCATTAAGTGGATGGTCATCTCTTGTTTTGCTGAACATTTTAATGAGTTTGGATATAGGTTTGTTGTAAGAAAAACTTCAATTCTCTTTTTCCTAAAAGGAACATAATTTGGATAACTGGGGGTAAGCTGGGAAAGAAGGATGAGAGAAGAAAGGAAAAAGAAGGACAAGACAAGATGTGAGAAAGGTGCATGATATATAACATGACTCATTGTGCCTGAAAATCTCTAATAATTTTTTTTTTTTGAGGAGGTGATGAAAAAACAGGTGAAGGAGGTGATTTTTGCAGAGCAGAGCATGCATGAATTCAGGAACCAGAACAGAGGGAATAGAGCAGAATTTTATGGAAAGTTTTGCCAATCATTTCTCGAAGAATTAATGGAAATGACACCAGATATATATGTTGCGCTCCAAGGCCCAAAGGGGTCTAGATGACATCTGTTTCACATTTAAAGATGCTCAAAGAGAGGACAAAAATAAAAGAAAGGCACTCTGATGTTTTCATTTTGAGGTAGCTAACATTCCCGGATGACACTCTTTTCTCCTACTTACATCAAAAAGTAATGTGATTCCTTCATTTCTTTTTCATAGACCCAGCTGGAGCTATAAGAACCACCCACCTGATAATTATGTGCTTGCCTCAACTCCCTCTCAACTGTCTCCTTCGGAACTTCCTTCTTTTGAGGAGTTTGTTGTTGACTCTGTAGGTGATGGGGCAAAGAGGCCGCTTTGGGAGTAGATTTCTGTGGTCGGCCCTTTGGCCACTTACATATTGTGTGATCTCAACTTTTCCAACCTCCAGTTTCTCTATCAACAACAATATCTCATAAGATCGTATTAGATTGTTGTTTAAAATATTTATCACCTGATTAAAAAACAATTTCCCAACAGCAGAACTTAATTTAGTTAGTTTTAGTAGAAAAGTAAATTATTAAAGATGGTTTACAAAATCTTTGAGAGGGCTAGAGAACCAGACACAGCAGCCTCGCGGCCAAGAAAAAGATCGAATTCATACCCTTGCTGGTCATAGGCACTGCAGGGCTGAGGAAGGGACTCACTGCCAGGAAGCCCGTCACTCTGGTCTCTGTGCCACACCTCACCATGCATGCTGGGAAAAGGAAGTCCTTATGCAGTCTCCTGCCTCCTTGTTCTCCTCCAAACTCAGTCTCCTTTGGGTAAGTCTTGTTGGCCTAACATAGGCGCCCAAGGTTGGGAAACTGCACCCTGGTTTCTACCCTGGGATGCAAGACTCAAAGAGGAAAAACTCCATACATTTAAGGAGGCTTTTTATGGCTGGTGGCTGGCCACAAAGCATGACATACCCACAGTGGTTTAAGAATATATGGTACCTGGCACATAATGAAAACTCCAAAAATGTATTTACTTTTGTTACCACGGGGTATTATGAAAAGAAAATGAGATAAATTATGGTACTCTTGATATGCATGAATATATCCTTTTGTTAGCTCTTTTCTACTTTTTAAGTATAAAGTATGTTTAAAAAGCATGCCTCAGGTGCAAAATATTTTAATTTTTTTTTTCAACGTTTATTTATTTTGGGGACAGAGAGAGACAGAGCATGAACGGGGGAGGGGCAGAGAGAGAGGGAGACACAGAATCGGAAACAGGCTCCAGGCTCTGAGCCATCAGCCCAGAGCCTGACGCGGGGCTCGAACTCACGGACAGCGAGATCGTGACCTGGTTGAAGTCGGACGCTCAACCGACTGCGCCACCCAGGCGCCCCATGCAAAATATTTTAAAGATCACACATGCAACCTTGTGTAAATTGCAAGACAACACATTGAATGTGTTAGATGTCTTGTGTTTTTCTCTATAGCTTCCCTTGTCACATCCCTGCATCCTTCTCTGGAGACTAACACTCCGATAGATAGCAGCAGGCTTCTTTAGCCTCAGATTCTCCTTGAGTCTGCCAAAGAGAATGCTAGCAGGAGATCAGAGGGCGGAGGGAGCGTAAAGACAGGAAAATGGAGCTGGAGTTTTCTTGCAAGGTGCAGGGATCACGGGGTTGGCTGCATCCCTTGGTCCAAAGTCACATAATGTTTACAGCACTGTCCATAATAGGCTCTGGTAAGTAGTGGGAAAGAGGGATAAATTCTATGTCATTTAAAATGCTACTTGATTTTGTAACAGAAATATACATTTGTGTTCTTTAGCTTGGTTTCTTAGTTTTTTGTTAGTAAGCTTTCTCCATCTTCAGGTTCTCCTGGCCTGGCATCTTTCAGCTCAAGGATGGTACCAGTGCCCCTGGTAACCAGCCCCATGGTACCACAGTATCCTATGTACTTTCTGCACACTTGAAAGTAATCCCTTAATTAAATTCTCCCCAAATATATAAGTTGACTGAGCCATCTCTTTCCTACCTGGACTCTGACCAATATCCTGAAAATGCATTGTTGAAGGATATTGTAGATACACATAACACGATATTTGTTTAGAATTAAAAATAACTGTGTGTTTCCTGCATCTCTTCTATTAAGCTAGTTTAATTTAAAGTGTGTACACATGAAGGGACAGTGTGCTCAATAAAAGTCTGGGGAAGGTGAGGGTTTACCTTCAATAGTTAATTAATTTGGTGAACATTTATTTGGTTTCTTTGCTAGTCCAGGCCCCGAGCAAAAATTTAAAATAGTTAAGGGAGTATGATCTGCACTCAGCTGTGAGTCTTAAAGAGGTAAGGTCTCAGAACAGTAGAATTTATTTTTTTCAGCAACTTTCAAGTATATAATAGCTACTGAAATAGAAATAATGACTAGAATTATTCATGTGGTCATAATAAAAAATTGATAACAAGAAGAGAAAATGTATAAACACTGTCCAGATTTTCTAGTTTCTTTTGATGGCTATTTTGAATTCTATAAAGTAATTTTGCAGGCATCTTTACAAAATTGTAATTTTTAAACATACGAATATCAAGAAGGAACCATTCAATTTTCTGTGGGCAACTCAATTTTCATGAGAGTAAAGCAGAAGTTAATTGGTACATGAAGTTAAAATTCCAAGAGTGTATAAGGATCACTCAGTTAAAAACTAATTCTCTCTCCCATTGTTTACAAACACACACACACACACACACACACACACACACACAGAATAAATCTCACAATTTTAACTGTATTTTCTCTAGTGGTATTAGTTTTGATTTCATATATATAAAGATCTAAAACATGGAAACTTCTCTTGTCTCACTGTGAGATCAGTGTATGGTAAAGGAATATATAAATGTTTCCATCCAAAGCATCATTTTATACAATTATCAAACAAGTATAAGGTAATAGTGATGAAGGGTTTTAAAATCCTTCATAATCACTCTTATTGTATCACCCAGATGTGAGTGTAATAGGCATTTTATGAAATATTTTCATATCCTGTACTTTTTTTGGCCTCTGAGGCTCCCCACCCATTTTGTCAATGCCAGTTGTCCTTCCAGAAAGAGGGCGGGTACCATCTGGAACAAAGAGGGCATTGATCAGTTTCGAGTTCTAAAGCCAACTTTTAAAAAAATTCCAGCAAGAGAGTTGAGCCTTTTAGAGAGTGAAAAGAGTTTTCTAAAATGCCAAAAAAGAAAAAAAGTGAGAGAGAGAAAGGAAAATGAAAGAAAGAAGAAAAAGCAAAAGGAAAAAGAAATCCCTCCTGTTCTCATATCAAAAGCAAAGACAGGGAGTTTTGTCTGTAAACCCCAAGTAGAGAAAACAACTAGAAGAGAGAGTGGAAAAGGCTCCTGGTCAGAGAGGCAGACGCCGAAGGAGACCAAGGCAGAGAAAGAAGGTGTCCTGGCTTAGCCCTAACTAAAACCGGAACGTGGCGATGGCAAGTATAGTTGGGTGTGGTGTTTGAAGGCTGTGAAAAAATACATAAAAGAGAAACTGTTCAGAATTCCAGCACAGCGGGACTTGTTTTTCTCTTCCCTGGGCACTGCCTGGGAAGATTAAAGGCCACCTCAGAAAAGTGCTTGGTCCAAGATGGGACACTCCAGGCCAGCACCACTCAAAGTGCAGTCCTGAGAAGGTGCTGGCCTGCAATTCTTTGTTGTGGCCTCCAGTCCATCCTGAGGTAAGTTCTGAAATGGGTTTAGAAACTTCCATAGCAATTGGTAGACTAGTGTCATGGATTGAATGTTTGCGTCCTCCCCTCCAAGCCCATCACATTCATAATTTGAAACCCTACCCCTCAATGTCATGGTAGTAGAAGGTGGGGCCTGTGGGAGGTCATTGGAATTAGACAAGAACTTGAGGGTTCTTGAGGGAACTTGGGGTTTATGGATGGGATTAGTGCCCTAAAGTAGAGAGAGAGAGAGAAAAAGAGAGAGAGAGAGAGAGGGAGAGAGAGAGAGAGAGAATGCACTTGCCTCCTCTCTCCTTCCCTTGATGTGAAGATACCCCCAGAAGTTGTCACACTGGCCCACTTGCATTTTAGCCTCCAGAACTGTAAGAAATACATTTCTGTTGTTTATAAGCCACACGGTCTGTGGTATTTTTGTTATAGGAGCCCAAACTGACTAAAAAAACCTAATTTTATGCCTGTTGAATCAAATATGTTAAAAAACTGGGGCTTGTATTGTGTACCTCTTTATTATTTATTTTTCTAGTAACTGATTTTTATTGTATTTTATAGAAATACTGGTCTGCAAGGGATGGTGCGGAGAACCCATTACAGTTTGAGAAGCATTGTTCTGTAGGCTGTATTACAAGTGGCTGAGTGAGGGCTCAAATAGAGGGATGGAAGTCAGACTCTCCACTTCTCCAACTCTCCCCGCACTCTTGAGTCTCATGTACCACGGAAGGAATCCAGAAAGCAGTAAGTGTGTTTAACTAGTAGGGTACATGGAATTACCTGAATGGAGAATCCAGGAGCCAGCTGTGGAGACCAGAGCAAAGTGACCCCACAGCACAGGCTGCAGGGTAGATGGCTAAATCAGACCTGGACAAATCTCTTGCTGATCCTCAAACAGGCCCACAGTGCCAGGCCAAGGTGTTTTCACAGAACCAGTGTGGGAACAACCCATGAGTCCACCAGACCCAGCACTGTGGGCCCACAGGTCATTCAGACAGGACATTAATGAAGCAGCGAACAAGGACCTAAAATTCATCTATTTGCAGGATCTCTGGGCATGGCTCCAGTAACTTCTATCCCAGTAACTCATGGTTTTGAAAGTCCCCCATCCAGGAACCATCTTGGGAATGGGAGTGGAGAAGACCAGAAAGATTCAGGATTTACTCCAAAGTGACTGCCCCAAAAGCTTATATACCGTCACTTGAGAGTTATGTTTTCTCCATTACCCAGCAGTGTACTAGCTGGAGAGCAAAATTAAAATAGAAAATAAAGAAATTATAGGGGCGCCTGGGTGGCTTGGTCGGTTAAGCGTCCGACTTCAGGACTTCGGCTCAGGTCATGATCTCATGGCCCATGAGTTCGAGCCCCGCGTCGGCCTCTGTGCTGACTGCTCAGAGCCTGCAGCCTGTTTCAGAATCTGTGTGTCCCTCTGTCTCTGCCCCTCCCTTGTTCATACTGTGTCTCTCTCTGTCTCAAAAATAAATAAACGTTGAAAAAAAATTAAAAAAAAAAAAGAAATTATATTTCTCTCACCTAAGTGGTATTGCATACATTATTGACCCTGCCATGCACCCAATAAATTGTGAAGATAAAAATCATGCCTAGTACATAGTACATTTAAAAAAATTTTTTTTTCAACTTTTTAAATTTATTTTTGGGACAGAGAGAGACAGAGCATGAACGGGGGAGGGGCAGAGAGAGAGGGAGACACAGAAACGGAAACAGGCTCCAGGCTCTGAGCCATCAGCCCAGAGCCCGACGCGGGGCTCGAACCCACGGACCGCGAGATCGTGACCTGGCTGAAGTCGGACGCTTAACTGACTGCGCCACCCAGGCGCCCCCATAGTACATTTTTAATAAAAAAGCCTTGCTGAAATATCAAAGGGAACTCAAGAATGTTACATTTAAAAAATATCCACATAAGCAGAATTAGGATGGTATAGGATCCACTACAGAGGCACTCTCCACTTACAGGGTGGCTCAAGCATCTCAATTCCATTGCTCAATATTTTAGGTGAAATAAATGAATTATATAAGAAAGTTGTGGCCATGTTGATTGACGGTAAAGTCCTGAGTAAGCAGTCAGATAGGAAGTTCTCCAAATCAAGGGAATATGCCTCAGGGGGAAATAATATTTAATCCATTTAAAAAGAATCGTTAAACTTCTCAAAAGGATGAGATACAACAGGTTGGGGGGTGACTTTCCCCTTACCTCTACACAGAAACGTCACTGTAACAATCCCAAATCCCCTCTCAGGTATTGACTATGACCTTTGGGGATATCTAGCAGGTAACGATCATAGTCATTCTTTCAATAGACATCACAGCAGCCTAGTAACTAGGCCAGATGCTGGAGAGTTAAAGATATTTAAAGATAAGTTACAGACTTAAAGAGATTCTTCCCACTCTTAAGGAGTTCACACTCCAGTGGGAGAAACAGAAGTGTAAACAGAGACACAACAATGTCATCTATGCCATGAGCAAGAGTGAAAGAAGCTACATAGCAGAGCAGGAGAAGTGAAACATCTTTGTATAGGCTTAATCAGTGAAGAATTCCCTAAGAAGGAGGTGATCTTTTGGGCTGAGTCTTGCATACTTCGGCAGCAAGGGCGGTTGGTAGAATCAGGCAGGCGGGGGATGAGGAGAGAACAAAGTATGTGTAAGTTTACAAAGCAACAGAGATGACACGCTTGAAGGACTTGACATGGTTCTTCTGTGACTGGAGCCAAGAGAACCTTTGGGGGTATGGACAGGTGGCAGTGAGAAAAGTCTGCAGGGTCAAGATGAATGTTATAGATGGGTTTGAAGGCAGAATAACCTGACTGGAAATTGTTTAGAAGTATTATTCTAGAAGTTACATGGCAGATGGAGTGGAGTGGGAAAAGGCTGAAGATATAAGAACATACGACCAGCTTGTAAAAGTTCAGGTGAGAGATGATACCTGGCATTTTCTGACTGCCAAATATGACTCATTCAGGCCCCCATAAGAAAAAGGGGATCTTTGGGGCGCCTGGGTGGCTCAGTCGGTTAAGCGGCCGACTTCGGCTCAGGTCATGATCTTGCAGTCTGTGAATTTGAGCCCCGCGTTGAGCTCTGTGCTGACAGCTCAGAGCCTGGAGCCTGTTTCAGATTCTGTGTCTCCCTCTCTCTGACCCTCCCCATTCATGCTCTGTCTCTCTCTGTCTCAAAAATAAATAAACGTTAAAAAAAATTTTTAAAAAAAGAAAAAGAAAAAGGGGATCTCTTCACATGCAAACTGGACCTGGAGTCCATAAACCTGGCTAATCTCATGTCCGTGACATTAGTTCAATCTCATAGAGTGTTTCTGCTTCTCCCTGCGGATATACAGCCCTCCTCTTGATGGAATAGCTCATTCCCTCCACTTTATTTATCCCAATTCCTAGATGTTTTGCATATTAGTCTTTTCCCGACCAAGACAATTTTTGCTGTTCTGCCTGTTAGTCTGTTTCCCTCATAATTCTGCAGCCCAAAGCATAGGTAAATGAGATTTAGGTTTCATTCCTATAGCACTGGAAATTCCATGCCCCTTTGGGTGCTACCTTTTTATTCATGCAGACATTCTTGCATAATCTATTGTGTTTTTTTTTTAAGTTTATTTATTTATTTTGAGAGAGAGTGAGAGAGAGCGAGAGAGCGTGTGTACAGGAGCGGGGGTGGGGGGAGAGAGAGGGAGAGAGAGAATCCCAATCCCTGTTATGGGCTCAATCTCACAAACTGGGAGATCATGATGTAAGCCGAAATCAAGAATCTGATACTTAACTGACTGAGCCACCCAGGTGTCCCCTAATTTTTTTTTAATGTTTATTTGTTTATTGAGAGAGAGAGAGAGAGAGAGAGAGAGAGAGAGAGAGTGAGGTAGAGAGCCAGCAGGGGAGGGACAGAGAGAGAGGGAGACAGAATCCCAGCAGGCTCCACACTGTGAGTGCAAGCCTGATGTAGGGCTCCAACTCACTAACTGTAAGATCATGACCTGAGCTGAAATCAAGAGTCAGACGCTTAACTGACTGAGCCACCCAGGCACCCCAGTCCCGTATTTGTTTTTTAACAGTTGTCTCCTTTCACTATCTGCAAATCCTAGTGAGGAAAGCACTTTTCATTCCCAAGATGGCTTCTCTTATTATTCTATTTTTAATGACCAAGAGAAGTGTGCATCTTTCAGCCCAAACAGGGAACCTGGTTTGGAGCAGTTGAGTAGGACACAAGTTTAGAGAAACGTTCTAACACTGCTATTCCCTACACTGTTTGTAAACCTTTTTCACATTGGCCATTGGTAGTCTAGCTCTTCGTTGTTGCTAATTGGATCACAGATGACCTCCAGGTACCTCTGGAACTCCAGAAAGTTTCCGAGGGCAAAGATCTGGAGATGGTTGATTCCTGAGGCTTTGCATATAGACTGCAGATAGCAACCTATTGTTTGGGAAGGGCTGTCCTCACGGTTCCTCAGTCTTCCACAACGCTACATCCAAATTTACACTTCCTGTAAAGGTCTAATGCCTGTTGAGCCTACTCTAGTCCTGTTAGTCACATCTTTCTATTGCAAGGTACCACAGAGCTCCTGTCTTCTTTGCCTTCTTCTCCTTCCTTTCTCATCTCAAGCTTGGGATGAATTTGGCTAGATCTTCTCAATTGCATTTTGCACTCCTGGTTAAGCAAATGTAAAATTCATGTCTACATATTCTCATGAAGCTCTTCCTCATACTCCTGAGACAACTCCTATGATTTCTTTTTGATACTATTCTTTTCCCCCATACTCTGATTTTGCACATCACTGGATCAAATGCTGTGTTTGAAGCCTTAGGACAAGCCTGCACCTCATTCTACTCTTGGGGGAAGCAGATGAATGCAGACATGTAATTCAAAGGGACCCAGGAGTCAGGAAATCCAGACTGCTCTGGCTCCTCTCAGATGGTTCCAATTGCTAGTATGACAGTCTTTGCCAAGGAGGGCATTAATTTTAACCATAGAAACCTGGCAAGTCAGACAATTCAGCTTGACATTGCAATTCAGCAGTGGGAACTATTAGTTTTGGATCTGATTTTAAGTGGTCTCAGAATACCGGTTACAAACAGAAAGGGTTTCCTCAAGCCAAGTCATATGGTGGCCCTGTGTTTCCTTATCTGCTTTCAGCCAGGCAACCTGGGACCAGAGCATGTGCTGCCCTGTTGCAACTGTCTAATAGTATGACAGGCAGTTGTCCAGCTCTGCCGTTCTTGAATTTTATTTCATTTTTGCCTTCTTATTTCATTACCCCTGAACAATGACATGTACATTACTGGGGAAAAAAAGAAAATACAATTGGAAAAATCCTAAAAGTCTCTTATAATTCCACCCTCTGAAAGTAACTGCTTTTAACAAATTGGTGCCTATCCTTCTAGAAGAGGCAATATGGGAAGAGAGATACAGAGGGAGGGAGAATTGTGCTTGCATTTCCTATTTCCTTGGAATTGCTCCAAAGCAAAATCACCAAAGCCTTGCTTTGGCCAGGACAGTATCCACTTTATCTTTGCCTTACAAGGATGGCTTGCTTCTCCATCCTAGAAGGGATTGTCCTATCTTCTACAGCCCTACAAACAAATTTGCACCCCCTTGAAGAGACTGTGATTGCAAGGATACTCTTGACCCCTTTTCTGTGTTAGCCACCTCCTTCTGGTTGCAAGGCATAGAGACTAATATCTTTAATAAAAAGGAATGTTCATTTTTGTGCACTTGTGTGCCAGATTTGC